TTTATTTTTCTATTTTTTTATTATTTAGTACAGAGTCAACAGGGTCTGATCCTCCTGTTTTCAGCCTCCCAAGAGCTGGGACCGGAGGTGCACTCCACCACACCCAGTCTTAATCACCATCTTAGCACGTCCCAGGGGCAGGAACGGCACAGCACAAGAATACGCTTTTTAAAAAGTATTTAAGCATAACAAGATTACTAAACGCAAAGTGTCCTTTAACTCAATTTATAGATGCATTCAGTATTCTACTGAGGGCTGGGGATATAACTCACCAGTCTAAGCACCTGCCTGGCAAGTGCAAGAAGCTGAGCTCGATTCCCCATACCACATGCCTTACCAAGACCAGAACACTGGGCATGCCCTGCTGGCCTGAACTGTGGTGCACTGGACAGGATGTGACAGGAGGATCACTACAAGTCTGAACTGCATAGCAAGACCCTGAATCAAACAAATAAGATTATATATATATATATATATATGTAAAGTTTTATATATATTATTCTATTGATTTTAAGCTTTATGAGAACAGAAACTTGCTTTACTCATCTTTCTCATACTCCAGTAGGTAAAAATATGAGTAGTGGGCCCAACTAGACTGAATAGTTGAAAAAACAAATGGGAATAAACTCTATCAAGACATTTTATATATTAAATATAAACATAATCTACAACTAACAAAATGACTACCATTTTAGATTGATTCACATATGAATTTAGTAATATAAAAAAAAGCTCAGAAAAGAGAAATGCATTGTCTCAATACTAGGTTTTATGATGTAGTAGGATAAACCAACATTTTAGTGACAACTGTTTCCTACTACATTGTGAAAAACTTGCCAAAGGAAACAGCATGTGAAAGTCTTATGTTTTCATATCAAAATAGGAAAAGTTTTTAAAATAGGAGAAGATTTTTAAAGCTGAGTTTTATGCATAACTGTTTCTATACTGACACAGTGACTTCACATATCTAAAATCTACCAGAAAGTTAACAGTTGGCCTCAAATTTCTATGAAAATTCCCAACCCTATATAAAAAATTACCAATGCTATGCCTATCATTATAATCATAAAATTTGTAAAATATATTTTTTGTAAAATATAAATTTGCATAAACATTCACATTTTCATCAAAACTATTTAGCACTTCCAAGTCATTCATTACAAAGCAATGTTCTATACAGTCATGACAAATATATTCAAGACTGGCAACAGAAAAAAAATCTTTGCAAATCCTGAATGTCTCAACAGCTTTACTAGATAAGCCAAAGTTATTATTTCCTTAATTTTTTCAATGATCAGTTCTAAAAAATAAATTATGCTACAACTTTTTTTTAAGGATTTCAAGTGGATAATGGTAGTTTAGAAATTTACTAATTCATCTTCTGAATGTACAGTCCCTAGTCTCTTTAATATATAGTATCTTTCCTTTTAAGAAAAGCAAAAAAAAAAAACCATATACATATATATATTTCACACATACATATATAATATCAATTGTGAGCCATTACTTAAGAAAATGATAAATTATCACGAGAAGTTTGGGCATATGGCACACGCCTGTAAGAGGGAGGCTGAGGCAGGAGAATCACTGGGAGTTCAAGACCAGTTTGAACTGCACAGTGAGAACCTGTCTCAAAAAGACAAAAAATAATATAAATAAAAATAAATTATTATAGGACTAACCAAATGGGCTTCTCATATATTTCACTTAGGTTAACACAATTCCAATGTAGTATTTTCTAGGTTCTGATCATTACTATATCTATTAGCAGGTCAGTACCACTCTTCAGATAGTAACAACTTTACATGCATTAGGTTATTTAATAATAAAAAAAACTTACATAATTCAATATACTCATTTCTCAAAACTAGGCAGCTACCAGCTAAGTTGGCCCAAGAATACAAAGTACATCAACAAGGAAGCTGACATTCAAATTCAAGCTGCCTGGCTCCAGGACTAAGTAAAACAAAGAGAGTTAGAACTTCCAATCAGGCCAAGAACTAGAAAAATGTTTGTTTCCTTATTTTATACCCCAGAAAATCACACAGGACACTGAAGCACAGGGAATTAGGCATGAAGAACACAGAATTTCTAAGATTACACTATGCTCTTTCAAACCTAACATACATATTCTCTCAAAAATTGTTTCCTAACTTCTTACAGAGCTAATAGGCCAAAAGTCTAAACTAGTAAATTTTTTCAGTTTATAAAGATTAGCAGCAGTAGTAATAGCAACTTCTTTCACATTAAATGTAATTTTGCTCAATTTCCACTAAAAGGATATTAAAAAGATGGCTAAGTTAATTTCTAATCATAAAATCCTTCCTCACTGACAAAGTGATCATCGTAGATGTTATTTAATGAGACTGATGAACAGATTTAAAAGGGCATTTTGTGCTCACTTTGGCAGCACATATCCTAAAAGAGCACTTAAGAGACATTGAAATCAGATGAGGAAACCGGTATCATAAGAATCAAACTGGATGGTGCACACCTATAATTCCAACGCCACATTTCTTTCACCTCTGAGAGACAGGGGAAAAGGAGGCACATGCCTGATATCCCAGCACTCAGGAGGCTGAGGCACATGGACCACTAAGTTAGAGGCTAGTCTGGGCTACATGAGTGTAAGACTAGCCTGAATTACAAAGTAAGACCTTGTCTCAAAAACAAAACATGGGGCTGGTGAGATGGCTCAGTGGTCTAAAGCACCTACTTAGAACAAGCTTAGCAAAGCACCTGGACTGCGGTTCAATCCCCCAGCACCACATCCCAGCCAGCCCTGCCCCCTAGTGGGCTGAGCTGGCCACACACACACACACACACACACACACACACAAAAGTTAAAAAAAAAAAAAAAAACATGAGGGGCCGGGGAGATGGCTCAGTGGAATAAGCGCATCCCTGGCAAGCGCAAGGGCCTGAGTTCAATCCCCAGTTCCACCAAAAGGAAAAAAAAAAAAAAAAAAAACATGAAAAATTAGCAATGAACAAGTGTGAACATAGTGCAGAACTAGGAACTACAATGGTAGAGATC